CCTTCCTTCCTTCTTCGTGTTTTGGTGAGAACATCTAAGCTCTACTCTCTTAGCAAACTTCAATTTTGCTGTTTTACATTATATCTCAGATTTCATTCATCTTATGACCAAGAATTTGTACCCTTTTACCAACCTCTCCCAATTTCCCTTTCCCCCACAAAGCTGGCAAACATTTATCTACCCTCTGTTTCTGAATCCGATTTCTTGGGGGGGGCAGATTCCACATATGCGTGATACCAGGCAGTATTTGTCTTTCTCTGTCTAATTTATCTCAGCGTAAAGCCCAGCAGGTTCATCCGTATTGTCCCAAATGGCAGGATTTCCTTCTTTTTAAGGCTGAATTATATTCTATTGTATATATANTCTCAGCGTAAAGCCCAGCAGGTTCATCCGTATTGTCCCAAATGGCAGGATTTCCTTCTTTTTAAGGCTGAATTATATTCTATTATATATATACGTATATATGCCACATTTTCTTTATTCATTCACCCATCGACAGACAGTTGTTTTTATACGTTGGTTATTGTGAATGATGCTGCAATGAACATGGGAGTGCAGGTATCTCTTCGAGAAAATAATTTTGTTTCCTTTGGATGTACCCAGAAGTGGGATTGCTGGATTATATGGTAGTTCTATTTTAACTCTATTTTAATTTCTTGAGGAACCTCCATAGCGGCTGTGCCAACTTACATTTCCACCAGCGGTGCGCAAGGGCTCCCTCCACACGTCTGCAGCATTTATCTCTTGTCTTTGTTCTGACAGCCATTCTAACAGCTGTGAAATAATATCTCATTGCGGTTTTGATTTGCATTTCCCTGACGTTGAGCATGTTTTCATGTACCTGTTGGTCATTTGTATGTTCTCTTTGGAAACATCTATTCAGGTCCTTAGCCCATTTTTAAATTGGGTTATTTCGTTTTTTGCTATTGAGTTGTATGAGTTCCTTGTATATTTTGGATAATAACCTCTTATTGGATATATGATTTGCAAGTCTTTTCTCTCATTCCATAGGTCCCATTTTCATTCTGCTGATGGTTTCCTTTGCTGTGCAGAAGCTTTTTAGCTTGATATAGTCCCATTTGTTTATTTTTTTTCTATTGTTGCTTTTGTTTTTGGTGTGAAATCCAAAAAAATCATTGCTAAGGTGTTTCCATTCTGTTTCCATGAGTCTCTCTGCCCCTGTGGGTGCACTTCATCCCCCCACACACATCCCCGCTGCTCCCTCTCAAGGACTCATTGGCGTGAGTGTGTTCAGGTGTTTTTTGTTCTCCAAAATTGCTGCTGCCAAACCCTGGATTTTAGCTTGAAGCAGTTTTTCTACTTTTCCAGTTCTAAGCCCAAATCCCTCTCCAGCTTATTTTGTTTGGGGCATGTTTCTTATAAACAGTTTGCCTCTGGGACTTTTTAAAACCCAATTTAAGGGTTTAAAATTTCATACATATTGTTTCTACACATCCTGTTACTACGGATATGGTTAGTCTAATTTATACCATTTTGTTTTGTGTTTTCTCTGTAACGTTTCCTTCTTTCTTTTTTGCTCTTTTTAAGCCTCGACTGAATTTCTCTGTTCCTTCCCCTTCTCTAATGGCTTAAAAGTTATGCATTCATTCCTACAATTTATTAATAAAATAGTCAAACTCTTTTTAAATCAGTGCTGAGAATTAATGCCCAGGGCCACCACTCTCTAAACAAAACAATTCCTTTAGTGCCTTCACTTCCCCTTGATCACCTTTTATATTTTGTCAAAGTCATCCAGAATTTTCGTCCCTGATTATTAGTTTTTCATGTCTCTCTCCTTCCTTCCTGAAGCTCTTGGGCTTTCCCCGTCATCTCTGTACTTTGTAAATACCTGCCCCGGGCGGTGCAAGGCGAGTGTCTCTCCGTTGGTCTTGGTACTTGTTGACTGATGTCTTTCTTCAACTCATGCAAACGTTCTTCTTTCATTTCTTTTATCATTTCCCACTGTCCAGTCTCACTCTCCTTTTCAAATTTCTAATGAAGAGATCTTGATATTCCTGGGCCTGTACTAACGTTTCTCTCACCCTCTCGTGTTGCTTCAGTTCTCCAGGCTGTCAGCCTGGTGCTGGAGCCAAGTGGCCCCGAAGTCTTGTCTGTTCCCCACTCAGCCCGCCTCCCGGGGGGCTTTTGTTTGTTTGTGGTGAATCATGTATTTGATTCCTAATAACCCCACGTTGTCTTTTTGGCTGTTACAGCCTCTGGAATATTTGGGGGAATAGTAATTATAGTTACTTTAAAGTCTTCTGTTGTCTGCATTAACCCTTTTCCTTTAGAGGTTGATTCTGATTTTTTTTTATGCTTTTTGTGGTCATTGTACTCAAATGTTCGATAATTTTTTGATATTATTTATTCACCCAACACTGAAAACCATTTTTAAACAGGAAACCTGGCTCCGGTTGATTTCCTCTATTGTCTGTGTCCAAGAAAGCATTTCTCTGTTGTGTGAGAGCAGCTCATGTTTTATATTCGGGGGCATCCCTTCCTTCATGGCAGGCCTAATTCTCTGACTCCAGTGCCCACTCGGTTTCCCAGAATGGGCACATTTTTCAGGATGTCCACATTCCTGGGCACAGATGACTGAGCCACTATAGAGAATTTCTGCAGCTGTACTTGGCCCTTCAATTGATTACTGAATTATTTCCTCTTTAAGTCTCCCTTTATATTATTTTAGGATTATTGTGAAGATTTTCTAAAAAACATAATCTCTTTGGTGGTCCCATCTTTCCTGCATAGGACCACAATTCCACTGCTCTATTAGGTTTTACCATAAATCTGATCACATCGGACCTACATATTCCGGCCATTCCCCACCAATCTGCTCTAAGGAGGTACCCCAGCCAGCTTTCCAGTGCTGTTACAGTTTCGTTTTCCTTTCACCTTTCTTCTGAAATATCAGTAGGATTTGGAGGAGGGAGAAAAAAGAAGGAAACACATTAGCCAGCCTGTTTATACGAGAAATCTTTTTAAAATCCCACTCCCATAGGGGGGCTAAACATATGGTAATGGATGATGATATGATTTTGGGTGGTGGGCACACAATGCAATATACAGATCACGTATCATGGAAATGTACACNAATCTTTTTAAAATCCCACTCCCATAGGGGGGCTAAATATATGGTAACGGATGATGATATGATTTTGGGTGGTGGGCACACAATGCAATATACAGATCACATATCATGGAAATGTACACTTGAAGCCTATATGGTCCTATTAACCAGTGTCACCCCAACAAATTTAATAAAAAAAATAAAGAATTAAAAATAAATAAATAAATCCCAGTCCCTATAGACATGTCCAATTAGCTGTACATGGCAACTAGAACACTAACGACCAAACGTGGCACCAACCATGAGNTCCCTATAGACATGTCCAATTAGCTGTACATGGCAACTAGAACACTAACGACCAAAGGTGGCACCAACCATGAGAGGAATGTGGATAGATTTTAGGGGCTCTGAATAATCTTGACTTTGCAGAGCCATCTACACAGGTGGATGTTGGATGAGATGGGGAGCAGAAAGATGATTCTGTTAGGAATAGAAATGCTAATTAATTGACAAAAACAGTGAGGCATGTCTGGAAGTTAATGATCCACATATGCTGTTAGACTTGGCAGGAGGACCACCTCCACTCTGATGGGCTCTTCACACCTGGC